CGCAATTACTATGTCACCAAATTCACAAATCAATGCTTTAACCACTAGGCCATTGTCCTGTAGGGGACTTGAATTAAAAGCCTAACCTGCCAATTGCTGCTTGTTATGCTTGAATGTACTCTCTAAGCGTTTCTCTTTTGTTTCTTTTATTTCTATACTAGGCCTACCAAAGGAGGTCCTCACTGCTTAGCATAGGCACTGATTCTTTCAGATATCTAGCTTTCCAGCGTTCTTCCTTGTCCGGTATATTCATTTCATTCCACAGGGGCTGATGACTAACCTTTTCCTTCCATGCATACACTACTGCTTTTCAATGTTCCTCCAGCCTTACTTTTAGAGGGCAGTTGTTTCACCTTTATAGTCTTTGCCACAACTGCAAGGAATAAAGTACTCACAGTCCTTGGTAATGTTCTCCCCTGTGTAAGACTTAACAGAAATTCAGAATGGAGTTGCTTTTGAATATTATCCTGATGTTGTATGGATCATTCATAGATCTTCTGAATCTTTTTCCAATAAGCCCTTGATGTAAGGAAGACGGACTGTGGCAATTTTCAGAATCTACCTCCTTGACCCCTTTTGTTTCTATATACAGACACTGATGTTATGTTTGCAGGGTAGTGATTTTCGGAAGGGTACGCTTGATGCTGATCATTTCCTATTAGTATGTGTTTGGGTTGCCACATGATTTTTGCCTGGTGTTCTAGGCATCAGATGATCCCTTTCTTCACATAGTATGGATGGTGGGAATTTAGGTACTGCCTAGCGATATGGGTGTCTTGAACTCTGTGTGAGTTATTAGTATATCCAGGAAAGCTAATTGATTATTTTCTTCTTCACTTGTGAATTGGATCAAAGGTGTTATTGAATTCATATGGTCCAGCAGTATTTATACAGCTTTCTGGTGAGGCAAGACTATGAAAGGTGTCATCTACATATGTCATCTATACTGTTGGCTTTAGCGGTGTCATTTCTAAATAATAACTCTTCATTCCAGAAAATCAAACAGAAATTACCATAGTTATCTTAATAAATTTTAAAGTAGAAAATAGAAAGTATAAAAAGATAACTTACTGAATCTTCACCCATAACTTTAAGGTTTTCTAATTCTTCAGTCATTTTAGTTGCCAGAGCCTGCAGGTAACCACGAGCATCTTTTTCTTCACTCACCCTAGTAAAATTTTGTTTGAACATTAGAAATACATAAAACATATAGAGGTTATGTTTCCTGTTGAATCAATAAAATCACTTCCAATTAAACTGTATAAACAACATTTGCATAATTACTACATCTAATTAAGACAAACATAAAAATGTTATATTTCAGACAGTTTATTCAACTACCAAATATTATGAAAAAATAAAAGCCTAATAAAATGTATCTTATGACTTCTTCCATGATTTTTCTCCTACAACCATCAAAACTACACTAAGCAGAAATATCCAAACTAATTGCTAATATAACAATTAGGTCATAGCAACCTAAAAACAATAAATCAATATTTTGTAAATTAAAGAATAATTATATTAAATGAAAACAAATTTCAACTTAATACGTCATAAAAATATATTAAAATTCTTCACTGTCACACAGTATATAACCTTAAGATGCATCAAGGAAGGGCAAAAAGATTTTTTTTGAAGAAAATACTTTGTAAGATGGGTAAATTACATGCAAGATAGGCTTAAATTGTCAACAATTGTCAGTTTTCACTTTAAGTTGAAAGAAATAATTGAAGGAAAGTCATAAAAAGGTACAAATTATTAGGGTATGGAAAAACCCATACTTAAATTTAAACTAGTTTATAAAAAATTAGAAAATTAATTACATAAAATATATGTTATAAATTTTATTTATTAAAAAATGTTAATGTTACACAATACTGTCAGATTATATTTTCCAACTCCTATCAACTTTGTTTAAAAGCAGTATATATATATATATATATATATATATATATATATATATATATATATATATATATATATATATATATATATATATATATATATAAAAATAAAGGAATAAAACTAAATGTGCAAAAGTTATAATGAATAGGTTAGTAGGTATAATATTTTATGAATTTAGGTAATAATGGCACCAGTAAAAATGGTACAAATAAGTTTATTGAAATATACACTATTGACAAAAAAAGTTGGTTTTGAATTAAATCAAATAAAAAAAAAAAAAAAATTTCTTGGATGGTCCAAGAGTTTTTCAGTATCTCTTCATATTTATCAAGTGGATGTTTTGTCACATGCCTATAGGAGATGGAACTTTTACTTAATTACTATGAACTCTAAAGAAAAAAAAATGACCTATTTTAAATGAGAAAAAAAAAAAAAAAATTCACACAAGATGAAGTTTACCTATTCCATGCTTTTTTTCACCCCCTACCCCATGCCCAAAATTTAATCTTTCACAATTTGAAAAACCAGATTCATAAAAAACTAATAAGATTTTTGCAGATTTAGTAAAATAAGGATTCAAGGACTGTTAGAAAATATACCATTTTAAAAATCAAACTTACTTTGCATTCTTATAATTTACATTAATCCAATTCATTCAGAATTGAAGCTTCAACGCTAAAAGGTGTATGACAGAATCAGTACTGCAAAAAGAAATCTTACCATTTAATAATTTCAGATATCTGTGCCTCCCACTGTGAAACTGACTCACGTTTGTCATTAACATCTTTCAGTTCCTGCTCAAGCTGATTCTTCTCTTTCAGAATAATATTATATTGTTTTAGTTGCTGAAAGAAAAACATATATATATATATATATATATAGGCAAATTAATATAATACAAAATGAAAACTCTGCATTAATTACTTAAAAAAGCCATAGCTCATTAAATTAATTTACTACAATTGTAAATCTTTTAACTTAGAATACCATCTTGTTTGATCTACTAGTCATAGATTACCACCACATTTTTTGTGTACTGAGAAACAATTTATGTAAACAAGTATTTATGGTTGTGTGTGAGACAAGAAATTAAGATAAAAGGTTGATTTTTAAAAAGTATTAATTTTAAAAAATGTTTGTTAAGCAGTTTGGTCATGTCAGAATATGAAAATTTATGACCTCAGTAAGAATAACTAAAACTTAAATTATTTTTAAAGAATTGTATGATTCCCTAATTATCATTGAATATGAAATCACAAGCAAAAGTTAATCAAGAAGCAATATTTTTGTTAATATAGGAACAAAATAATCAGAGATTAAAGAAAAATTTTAAAAAATATGCACTAAAAGAAATGATTTTATCGTTATATCATCATAACTACAAGAGATATATTTAATAATATACAAAATAGATGAATAAGTATAAAATTGATAGATGTCTGATTTAAAACCTTAGTTTCACTGCTTACTGTAATCAAAACACTTACATTCTTATATTCAACATTTAAGTTTTCTAATTCTTCAAAGGCTTCAGTATATTTGCTCTCCCAATCTTGTATTTGGTGCAGCAATTCTTGTTCATGTTTAGATTGTTCAGATTTCAATCTTGCAATTGATTCTTCATATCCAACATCTTTCTTTTCTAAATCAGCTTTAAGCCTGAAAAGAAGAAAATAACAAAAAATAGTAAACTTGCAAGAAAAACAATGTAAGGCTGCATGGGAGAAGAAGGATGATGAGGAGAAAGGATGACGACGACGAGGAGAAGAGGGGAGGAGAGGAGAAAGGAGGAGAGGGGAGGAGAAAGGAGGAGAAGAAAGGACGAGGAAAGAAAAAAAAAAAAAAGGAAAGAATTTTATGAACTGAATACGAAAAGAGAAGAATCATGTAATTACCATCATTAGAAACATGACAGCTAAATAGAAATTTATCTAAAACCTAAGCTAATATTTAATGAAACTAGCTTAGCAACTTCAAAATAATTTAATTTCATATTAAATTCTTATTTACTTTAAAACTTCTTTAAATTTCCATTACTACGAAATCCCAATTTTTAAAAGCTAATGTTTTATTCCCAACATTAAAAAATAATTTTTCAAGAAGTTAAATGTAGGTTTGCATGTAAGAAAACTTAAAAGCAAATTAAAGAATAACCATTACAATGTACTAAACTATATAAATCAAGAAATTAGATCTTCATTGAGCAAATTTTTATAGAATATGACAATAAAAGCATGTATACCAGCCACATTATAATGTGTGTGTGTATATATATATATATATATATATATATATATATATATATATATATATGCATGATCTATAATCTGAATATTTAATGATAAATTTAACTTAATTGATAAAACTTGTTGCCATAGATACTAACCTTGCAACTTCTTGAGTTAGTTCCAAGCTAGTAGAACTTGTTGATCTTCCCATTTGTTTCTGTTTGGCTGCTTCTAATTCAGTTTCAAGTTCTCGTGCATACTGTTCAGCTCTTTCACGTAGCTTCTTTTCTTTGCTTGCCTCAGACTTTGCCTCTTCTAATGACCGCCGCAGCTGTAAAAGAACATAGCAACAGTTAAGTATCAATTAAGGGCAAATCTCCTTTTTCTGGGGAAGTTCCTGAAGAGTGGAATTATTTCAAACAAACAGGATTTGAAAAGTTTTTGATAAAAAGAAAAAAAGTGAATTGAGATATCCCATCCTTTAATTTTTAAAAATTACTTAAGTCCACACACAGGTTTTATATATATATGTATGAATTCTTGCTGCATATATATATATATGTATGAATTCTTGCTGCATATATATATATATGTATGAATTTTGCTGCATATATATATATATGTATGAATTCTTGCTGCATATATATATATATATGTATGAATTCTTGCTGCATATATATATATATGTATGAATTTTGCTGCATATATATATATGTATGAATTCTTGCTGCATATATATATATATATATATATATATATATATATATATATATATATATATATATATATGCAGCTAGAATTAATTTAAGCAAGTTGCAAGAAAGTATTCAGACATTCTCCATTACTTCTGCTTCAGTAGTTAAGATACATTAAAAATGAGTTGAATCAATGGAACTTGTCAAGCTGGGAGGGTAGTCGCTCTGAAACTGATTTCAAACCTTCATAAAGAGGTTTGAAATCTGATAGTATGAAGAGCAAATATGCTGCATAAGAAAGTCGATTTCCTGTATCCTTGCTTAGACACTTCAATGTTGCTTCATCATGGCAGCAAAACATGGAAAGCAACATCCACTGGTTATATATATATATATATATATATATATATATATATATGCGCACTTGATTGGTAAGAAGAAACTGCATTCCTATCACCAGTTAAATCAAAACTCTCTAGGTGTAGACCCTGAGACCTATCAAGATTGACAGATGCCATAGAGATGTGAAGGGAAACTGAAAAGTTACGGTTCTGACCAAAATGATTCCCTACAAAATTCTGATGTTTAGTCAGATTTTGGTAAGTCATACTGAGAACTTTTCAGCATTTCTTTTAATTATATATTATACGGGGGAGGTGCTGAAAATGGACAAAGCTTAACTTCATCAGGGATAATTCTGATTGTAGAACATTGAATCTTAGACCTAAGCTGACTGCTGATGCTTCTCGTGCTTAGCTGCATTCACTTTAGCTTTTCTTACAGCTGCCATTGTTGCAGTCTTACTTTTGTTTCCCTTTATTAACAATATCCATATTGTATTTATTTCTATGTTAAGCCTAATGAAGAAGGCCCTAGCATATGCATATGCACCGGTTTCTTCAGATATCCGATTCTCCAGGGTTCTTCAATATATAGTATTTACTTTATTCCACAGAGTGATCCCCCCACCAACTTTCTCTCTATACATGATCAGTGTTGGATAATAAATTCATAATGAGAGCAAGCACCTTATCTCAAAGGTTTTTAACAAGCTGGGGTATAGGGGCTGCTTAAACTCCCTGGCTATGACATTTATGGGAGTGCCCTCTCAATTATCCAGTCCTTTCTCTTGGATAGGTCCATGAAGGTTGTTGTTAATGGCCAGTCCTCTGATGTCTATGAGATGAATATAGGCATACTCACAAAGTTTTCTCGTTGGTCCTACACTTTTTCTGTAAAATATTAATGAACTGCCCAAGAACATTCTCAGATCACTAGTAAATATATATGCAAACAATATTATGGTTTATGGAAGCACCATCAAAAATCTAAGATGATCAAAACCTGTTAGCCAATCTCTCTTTTGATCTTGCTCACACAGTTCAATGGTGTGAAACTAGCTTGTAACATTCAATATCTAAGTCACTAAATTCACAAACCATTTCTTTAAACCCATGGGAGAGTCCTGGAGCTTTAAAATTAATGTCCTTTGATACAACCGGTTGCTATCATGCTTCTTTATTAACAACTCCCATATTGTATTTATTTCTATGCTAGGCCTACTAAGGAGACCCTCATAGCCTAGAATATATCCAGATTCTTTCAGGCATCTGACTCTCTAGGGTTATTCTCAGTCTAGTATTGTTACTTCAATTCAGGTGACTGGTCTCGTTTTTGTATTCTTTGCCACAACTGCAAGGCATGGAATATACATGGTTCTTGGTCATGTTCTCCTCTGTGTTAGGCTTAACCCAGCAAAGATATTTTTGCAAGGTCCAGCTACTGTCAATACTGTCCTGATGTTGCATGGGTCACAGATCTTTTGGATATTTTCTGATAAGCCCTTGACATTATGTAAGAGGATTGGAAAACTGACACTGTCAAGGGCTTATTTGAAAAGATTCAGAAGCTCCATAAGATAATCAATAGAAAGTCAGACCATGATAGTTTTCTGATTCACCTACTCCCTTATGTTAAGGAATTTAGAAAAGATTCAGATCTTAAAAAACTAAATAATTCAGATGAGGACAGTAGTCTGAATAAATAATGTTAATGATGACACTTCATACCAGAAATCTAAACAGAATTTTTTTTTCCCATTTTATCACCCACAATTAGTCTGATATAAAGTTTGTATTTCATATCTTCCAAATACATAATCATTCCAGACAAAATACAGATGCCATATATTTTTTTTTTACCTAAAAAGCTGTTTATGAAATTGAGCTACAAATGATTTAATTTTCTAATAAGCTAGTAAAGATAGTTTTGTGAGGAAATTAATTTCTTCAACTCAATATACATAATTTTATATTCTGTAGAAATGACAGAGAATCTTTTTTCCACATGTACAATGTTTAATAACAACCAATATAAATCTCTGACAAGTCCTGACATCAAAATTTGGATCATTTTGAAAAACCTGGCTAAATTGGAAAAAAGTCCAAAAAGTAGAGATGCAGTAGGTAGGTTCCAGAATTCAACCAATAAAAAGTTCAAAAGACTCCTCCAAGACCTTTTAAAAATATTTTTATTAATTTAGAAAAATTAAATATGAAATTTCGTAATACAACTTTTTGAAGAAACATTTAATATTGAAAGGTAATGTACAATGCTTAATAAGGCAATATACCAAATGTTCTCTGGTTTCATACCACAAAACCTTCATCTGCCCATTCTCAATTCTTTCATACCACTTATTTTAAACTATAATCATTTTTCTGCAACAAATTTTGATGACTTCACCATGCCAAACAGGGGTCTACAGTCAGTGACACAAACTATGGGTATAACCCCAGGATCATTTTTACCTGTTGTCCCACTTTAGATCTAAGAGAGAGTTCTTTCTTTTCTGTTAATCGCAACTTTTTATTATATAGCTCTTATGGGTTTTTATTCAGTGCTATATAAATATTCATGGAGCACCATGGCTGCTGTTTGGTAATCTTGGTGGTGTATTTGATGATGCCAGATTAGGAGATAACAGAAAATTTCAATATAGAGATTATCACTACTGTTACATCAAGCAATCGTCTGTTGGAAAGATGACCAAATATTTATAGAAATGTTATTAGAAGTGAAATATAATCACAGTCTAGATGGAGAAATAACAATAAGCTGCTGGTCTGTAAGGGCAAAGACACCCTCCACTGCTTTATAATAACCATAGATATAGTTCAAATAATCCATGGAAGAAAGCCTCACCTTCTTCCAGCTCTTAATTATCAACTGTGATCAACTCTAGAGGGTATAACTAAATGAAACTGAAGAACTACATTAATTCACTACATCCAGCAAGACACTCATTAAGGATAAATCATCTACAAAAATCCAAAGAGCCCCATGTAACTAGTTATTTCTCACTAGGTATCACAAACTAAATTTTCATTTTCAATATATCTAAAAAAAAAAACAAAAAAAAACAAACTTTAATACAGGAATAAAAAAAAAAAGAAAGCAAGTTCACACATGGATGTGTATGATAGATTAGCTAGAAGGTTTACAGTGTTTTCATCGATTCAACTAAGTAAACTAGACTGAAATAACATTTATAATGTGTATCAAATCAAATTAAATTACTAAAATGATTTCCCCCATTTCAGTAGAGTAATATTACCTTAATTAAACCTTTAGTGTCCAAGTTTGAAATTTTATCAATGCAAAAAAAAAAAAAAAAGATTGTGTCCCTTTGTTAAAATATTTTGCATTTTACAGTTTTCAAAGCCAGGTTTAATTTAAAATATTTTGACATAAATTACTATTTAATATTGCAATACAAGATCTCATTTTTCTTTCCTAGTAAAAGTAATTGTGTATATTATTTTTCATATCAAATATATATTATAATTTTAATTTTTAGTATATTCATAGTAAACCAATATGAAAATTAAGCTAAATCAATTCCACATCTATTTAAAAACTTTAATCAGTATGTGGACTTAAAATACAAACAACTAAATGACCAAGAAAATATTTACAAGACAGGATGATTTTTTTTTTTTTTTAGTTTTAGAAAACAGGTATTTAAATCTTACTTCACTATGAGTTTTTTCAGACCTGCGCCGTTCCATCTTCATGCTTTCTACTTTTCGTTTTGTATCTTCAATTTCTTCTTCTCGGTCACGCACATTTCGTGCAAGTTCTTTTACCTTGGATTGTGTTTTCCCAAGTCTTGAGAAACAAAAAGAGTAAGATTGGTATTTAGTTTATGTTTATCATCAAAGATAATGTGGTCATATATGTACACCAACAAGAGAAAAACATTGATAAATTATTTTTCATTCATCTTGTTAGTGTGGTTCTTTCATTATACAGAAATGCATAAGGGTCAAATAATAAATTAGAATAAATTTGCTAACAGGAAAATAAATGTAGATTCTTTAATTTATAGAAAAACAAATTCTTTTATATTACATATATCCAATAATTGTTCATTAGTCTTAAAGCCTAACTGAAACAAGATGTAGACAAATTGATAAACAGACATGAAAGCAAAAGAGGCAGAAGATTGCTGCTTAATATGGATATAATGGTTAAAGATAAAATTAACTTTCATAACTTCTATATTTTTAATTTACCAATTTGCTAGCTACTATGATATACAAAGTAGGACCTAACACATGCATATTAAAAAAGGAACAGCTTATGGAAATAAGGACAGTAGTAAAAAGGTGTTTACACTATTATAATGGTTAGCAACTTCATCTCATCAGCCAATTTGCAAGTGGTGTGAGTGATCCTCACCAAGTACACAAATACAGTTTTTTCATGTGAGAACAGGCTAAAGCAGTAAAAGCTTGCCACATACTAACAAAATTACTGCAGAGAGCTTAATCTCTACTGGGTACTAAATTAATGAACTTGTGCCAAACTTAAGTTATCTTAAAAGCAGCATTATATCTAAGCAAGCACTCAAAATCAATTTGAGACACTTCTATATAAGTAGACAAAGATTAAAAATATTCTGTCTATATTTCTGAGATGAGGTATTATGTACAGTATTTACATTAGTCGGACTATTGTCCTCATCTTTGTCGCCATATTTGTCACAACGTTTCGGCCGTTGTATGCTCCAGCCTTCTTCAGGTGGTATGAATTTCAAACTGAACCCTTTATTTTGATTAAAAAATGATGCTGAAAAAACATTAGGTTTATAATACTCAGAAGTTCATACCCAGATGTCCTCAAGGACACATGGCACAGTGGATAAAGGCGTTGGTTAGATCCAGTGACAGACCCAAAAGAAGGTGAGTTCAATACCTGGTTAAGGCAGAGGGAAAATTAGCAGGAGATAACTGATATCCATCAAACATGGCACGTGGAACTAGAACAGTCTACCCCAGTAATCGAAATAAAGGGTTCAGTTTGAAATTCCAACCACCTGAAGAAGGCCGGAGTGTACAACGGACGAAACGTTGTGACAAATATAGTGACAAAGATGAGGACAATAGTCCGACTAATGTAAATACTGATTAAAAATATGTTTAGCAAAATTGCAGTAGAAACATTTAAGACAGAATAAATGGTCATTAAGATCATTGCATCCTTAATCTCAGTAATTTAAATTATATTAATATTCTTTTTAAAAGACAAGCTTTTACATAGAATTTATACTTTATCAAACTAATTGTACTAATGGTTAAAATCCTAACTATAAACCATATCTATTTAAAATTGTCTTATTTAAGAAAAGAAAAATGTTTACTTACACATCAGATGTATCAGTGTACTGTTCCATGGTAATTTTTTGTTTTGATATCACTTCTTTTAGTTCCCTAGTCTGCTGTTTATATTTATTCTGAAGATCATAAAACTCCTGTAAGTAAAAAAAAAAAAAAAAATTCAAAAATAAAATAAGGAAACTTTGTTCTGTAAAAATTTGTAAAACAGATTCTTGATTATTTTCTCTCTCCATGTTTTATAAAATTAAAAAACTCAATAGCAAAAGTCTAAATAGACTATTTGGACATTTGAATCAGATTAGAATTTATAAATTCTGTATGTACTTAAAAACTGGCATAATGATTGAAAAATCATAAAATAAACTCTAGAGATTAATTGTACAATTTTGTGAGTGTAAACAATGCTGTATCTACCAATTTGTTGTATCTATAGTCAAAATTATGGATTTGCTCAGATAAACCAGTTTTTGATAAAATTAAAAAAACTGCTTAATATACATATTTAGTTAATTTTCTACTTGGATTGACTACAGGCTTAAAAATCTCATACCTAACTATAACTGCTTGGTTGTTATATTTAAGATGAACATACTAGTCCAAATTAAAAGGCATATAAAAAAGCAAGACTTTTAGATAACTTCTATGTAAAGATATTAATATAAAATAATTGTGTTGCTTAAAATGAATTTTTACCTTTTGTAATGTATTTTTTTCTGCATCAATTAGCCTAAGTCTGCGCTCAAGCTCACTCTTTCCATCCTGGGATTTCCTCAAGTCATTCTCAAGATTAGTTACCTCAGACTGCTTTACTGCAAAGAAATAATTTATTGTTTAATATATATCTTAGAAAAACTGAAACATGAAAATATAGATTATATTAAATATAAATAGAACAAATTATATGATTAAATTACATAAAGAAAAAGTAGTTAATGTTTTACACAGATTAAATAAAAGAAAAATGTAACCTTACATGAAACTATTTTTTGTAAAGCAGCCAGTTCTTCTTTTAATTGTTTGACTTCTGATTTGGAAGGTCCAGCAGCAGCTGCAGCAGCATCACCAGGTGATATTTCCACAATAGAAGCTCCTACTGCAGATTCTAAAGTTTCTATATTGACAGAAAACAATTTTGGTACAAGAATCAATCCATCAAAGTAAATTATCTTAGTTCAAACTAGACACATTCTTTGTGCTGACAAATGGTTCTCTGAATTATTAAGAGCAAAAAGTATATAAAAATATAAAATTTTATGAAATAAGACTAATCCTTACATCAGTCACATTGGCCAATCACCTTTTCATTTTGTAAAATTTGTTACAAATTGCATTCTTCTTTTTTCTACCCTCTTTAATGATGTAAAAAATAAAAAAAAAATAGCAAAATTAATAACAATTTGTTTATAGTAAAAGTTGAGAAGTCATTTTAAAAAAAATTTCATTTAAATATTTAATATCTTTTTCTGGGTTATTACTTCAGACAGATTTTCATACAATTGTTATTAGTTTGAATATAAAATAGCCATGGAAAAAATTAAGTTTTTTACATTTATTAAAACAATTTACAGAAAAATGGTTACTGTAAAAATAGATCTAAGAAATGCTTGAAGACAATTTGAAGTTTAAAATGCAGTGTGTATGTCTAATATTTTCTATATTTTTAGGGGAAAAGTGCACAATATCAGAGGGCATTTATAGATATAGAAATATGGACATAAGAATCAACAAAGTATAGTGACTGTCAGTTCTGAGAGCTCACATTGAAGTATGAAACTGACAAGTTATTGTTATATTTACACTGTCTATATCTATAAATACTCTACCTCTTCATATTGAGCATCCCCCCCACTATAAAAATGGTAATAGTGAGATTAGCAATTTCCCTATATGGAAATATTCAGCATTAACCAACTCAACAGTTGACTTTACTGTCGATTGAAATTTATAAAATCTTTCTCTTAAAACAATTTAAGAAAAATCAGTTACATTCTAGTACTGGCCATGTTTGAAGTCACCACCTTGGTCATGTTTGAAGTCACCACCTTGGTATCATCATCATCATAATTTTATTTTCATGTTATATGCACCATCCATTTTAGGCATTGCTGCTGTTGAAAGTATTCCAGGGATGTGGTTTCTGTTATTTGGCAAAGTCCTGTGATTTTGTAGTGCCATTCTCAGAGATCCAATGAAGAATGCTCCTACAGGGTAGGTTTTCTTGAAGCCATTGTTAAATTACCTTTTTTTTTTCTCCTACATGTGTGTGAAAGTAGGTGTGATACCCTGTCCTCATCAGCTGCCAACCAGGTGAGGTAAAACAGTTTCAGTGGCTAAGGTGGTACTGCTACCCCTGGTGCCACCAGATGTTTTTGCTACCCAACAGGGTAGTGTTTTTTGTGTAGATGTGTCAGTCTCTTGCAATTTTTTTTACAATGTATCTAAGAAAATGTTTGTAAACAGCTGACAGTTTAGACATTTCTAAAGGAATTGAATGCCATGCATGATACCCATATAAGAATCTAGATCTGATGAGATTATTTCAAAACATAAGTTCTTTTTTTTTTTTTAAGGCAGTTCATCTCAAGCAAGTTCTGAGGGCCAATAGCATGTGAGGAGTTATGAAGGATTGAGAACAAGAGTAAAGAGGCGTGTTTGAGGAAAGGATACAGAGAAGGTCAGGGAACAAGCTCAGGGTGTCAGATGTCGATTGACATTACACTTGAATATTTGAAGATTATAGTCATTGGGGAAGCAAGTAAGAGAAAGGGAGTTCCACAGATAGGAAGTTTGGGAGAAGAAGCTGTTTGAGAAGAGACGGTTACATTTAACCATTTTGACAGTGAAAGGGTGGGACTGAAATGCCAGCCTGGTAGCTCATATGTTTTGGTTTTGGAGTATGTTATGGTGTTAGATAATACTACTAGCACAGCCCATTCTGTGTTAAATTTCCTTGTCTCCTATACTAAATTTGTTATAGCTGATCCATATACTGAATTATTTGAAGTGTTTAGTATTTATGAATTCCACATTCTGAATTTTTATGGTAAATTCAAGGTATGTGTCATTGCTGCTTTCATTCCAAGTCCAGATCATAGTTTGTATTTTGGAAAGGTTTATCTCGAGTTCTACTACTTGGAAAACTTGATAGATGATCATTCTTATACCAACAATGAATACCCATGTCAGCATAGGCCTCCCTTATCCTCAGCACACTGATCTTAGGAGGGAAAACAGAAATACTGTTTTCTATTTGATACATATGCAATATCAAATTATGCTTTTTTTTTTTTTTTTCAGTTATTTTATAGCTTTTTTGATTTCCTCATCACTAAGTTCATTGTTGTTTAAGTTTGGAGACAAACTTTGTAATATACAAAGATATATATTGGTGTATATTCTATTTCCTCTGGCATCTTCAGATTAGTGTGGTCAGTGTTGAAATGTAACTCTAAGACCAGAACATTTGTTTTGGTTTTCATTGTTTGATATTATTGTGATTTTTAGCTTTTATCAACACAATCTATGCTGTTTAGCTTCATTAATTTCTAATTTCCAGAAAATGTTTTCTCAGAGCATTGTTTTTATTTGTTAACTATTTAGTGTTCTGCCTTCCATTTCTTTCTCTTGTATTTGTTTCTTTCTGATATTAGTCTTTTCAACTTCAGGATTGTAACACCGACATAAAAATCTTTCCATCTAGATACTTTAGGAATGGTCTCATACACTTTGGTTACAGAAGATATGATTATATTATTGTGTAAATATAACAAATTTATATCCTGCTCAGATGCCAGTTTCATTCAAAATGACTGGCATGGTACTTCTGTTAAGATATTTGTGTATTTTATTTGTATTCAAACAAGAGATTTCTTTTTAAGACTTGGTAAATTTAGAAATTGTTTGAAGGTTTGTTCTAAACACTTTTGGCTAATCTATTAGCTATTTTCAAGTAATTTGGTCGTGCTAATGTAGTTTACAACTGACATTCTAATTTGCAATATGGCCACTATATTGTGGCTATGTTCATAGTTGATGTGATATTTTTATGCCAACAATGATAACAGATTTACTCAAACTGAGTTAATACGAGTAGTCTCCTCACACACCTGATTATCTTCAATTACTATACATTACACATTAAAAACCCCAAATTTTCAAAAACCATGAAAAACCCAAAATTTTCAATGTTTTACTGTATGATAGGATATGGAGTGGCAACACTGGTTCAATGTTTATAGCAGGATAATGACTAATGATGATTTTGAAAAAGAAATAATTAAGATTAAACAGTGAAAAATTTCAAAGAAACTAATTATCAAGGATAATAAGGAGAAAAAAAACAAAAAACAAAAAAAAAACAAAAGTAATAATTAGAAGCCATAAAATGTGTTTGGAGAAGGCTCCAGGTATATATGAACCACAAATAAACAAAGTAGAATTCATTAAAATTTAGTAAGACTAGATCTTCCCCAATCTAACCAATTGTCTCTGGGACAATACAACAAAGATTTATGAAATATTATTAATTCTCATATGTTCATATTGTTATCAAAATTTAAACCAGAGGTTTGGCCTGACTACATTCCAAAGAGGATCATCTGTTATTGAACAAAAAGTTATGAATATTTCATCAGAAAACATGAAATAAACCAAGATCAGAGGTATGCAAACTTCCTTATATAAATGAGATGGATGAGAGTCAGCTACACAGACAGACAAAAGATGACAAGAAAATAGCAGAGGTTTGTTTATAAACAGTTCATCCACCTCAATGTTAATGTGACTAACAAATACACAGACACAATTGCCAGGACTAATGTCTTGATTTATCATGAATTACTGCTAGAATAATTTTACTACCAAAAAATTGTATTTAGAAAGATTAATAATTCTTTACCCCTTATGCAATTTGAAATTCAATTTTTTCCCCACTAAATCTGTAGTTATCAACTGTTTGTTGGTTTGTTCTGTGAAATTTGTTTTAAGTAGAGACAAAGAAGTTAACATTGTTGTAGAGTTTTCAGCAGAAATCACAACAACCACTGACTGAAATCCCCATAGAAATCAGGTTAACTTTCAGCTTGCTAATGTTGACATGTAATGGCCATAAAAATCAAGAACAGTGTCAAGTGATGACATCAAGAAAACAATGTTTTTGATAGAGTTGAAACATGTATTAATGGATCAATGGAACAAGTTCGGTTATACGGAAACATTAAAGCTACACTTATAAAGAATTGTTATAATATTTACTACTTAACTATATAAAGAAACCTACAAGTAAAAACTCTTGCTATGTCAATTATAATAGTGACTGTCCACTTGGATATGAATTAATGGTAATAAAAAAAAACAACCTTCTATCAAAAGGGTACATGATATCATTCTCGCACACACTATTTCTAAAGAATTCTGTAATGGAAAATAAACATTAGTGAATAACCATTTCCCCAAGTACATTATAGAGAGATAAAATTGGTTCCCTTTAAAACTAAGCAATAACAGTCTACAGATAATAGCAATAACATTAAGATATTTTATGAAAAAATTTAAAAACAGCCAACCTTATTAACAACCACAATTCTCCAGCTAAATCAAAGCATACAAGAACAAGTTTACTTATGAATTCGAATGTTCCATAGAGAAAGGTGTTCCTTATAAATTTTTAAATAATGATGCCAGATACCACTGCTCACTTATGAAGACAACCAACTCCAGAGGTCCATATGGGCTCATTTAAAACACCAGAGAAATGTATAAACTTTGATACGCACCTTCAACTGCCCCCCCCCCAAATAAAAATTCTTATAAAGATAAAAATCCCAATCTATAGCAACTATGAACACAGCCACAATATACTGGTCATATTTGGGAATTAAGAATATATCTTTCAGCAACTTTTACATCATTTACAACCCCAAACTTTGAAAATGGCTAATAGATTAGCTAAAAGTGGTTGGAACAAAATCATTCAGATAATTTCTACACTCAAAATCCACTAAAGAAATCTCTTTGCATATACAAAAAAAATCTATAACTGGTGTTACAATGAAACTACTTTAAGATATAAATATATTGTCAATAGTGAATGCATAGAAAATTAATCTATTATAGAAGTGATTCTCAAATGGATGTCATTTGACTCCTTTTGGAGAACTTAAAATTTAAAACAGAAAAATTTGTCATATCCATAAGTCATAAGTATAATGGTGAAAAGTTCAAAGTAAAGAATGGAATTTGATCTGGAACTTTATATTGTTAGCTAAAACTTAGTTTTTTTTAAAAAAGAGCTTGAGAGAAAGAAAGAAAAAAAAAAGTCATATACTAACCTTTCAATTTTTCAGCCAGCACTTTTTTTTCTTCTTCCAATTCATTAATAGTTTTTTGAAGAACTTGAACTTTATTATTAATTTGTGCTGAATCTGTTGAATCAAGATCTGGTAGTAAGGCATTCAGATCAGACAACAAACTGAAAAAGAGAGAGAGAAAAAAATTAAATCATCTATTTTTCATCATTGTTAAAGTTTGGATAAATATTAATATCCAATCTGGAATAAATTGGAAATCATATGAAATACTCATCCTAGATTATAACTTGGAAAAGACAAAGTGATGATGAAAAGTTTTCAGTCTGACCAACATGCATTTAAAAAAAAAAAAAAAATAAAAATAAAAAAAAAAATAAAAAAAGATAAAAATAAAACTGATGTTTGGTCAGACTTTGAGAAGTGGATCAGGCTGAGAACTTTTCAGCACTCTCAAATTAAAATGTTACCGATTCAGACAATAGAAGCCAAGCCTATAAAATTTTATGAGAAAATAAAAAGCTCATCAGAACAATTACCATGAATATAACAGTGTGAAAGTGTCTGAAGCTGAGATACCAAGTCAGGATCGATAACATGGCAGATTCTTTAGATTTTATCAAGAATCTCTAAATATACAGCAGAAAGACCAGATCAGATTTGGCAGCAATATTCAATACATAGACGATCAGCAAATATATACTGGTGTAATATATATTCTGACAAGAAAAATTGTCTAGCATGACACAGTGAACCAACTTTCCTAGCAGCAGACCTAGCAATTGATATATTGCTTGCTTTCTGGCTTAATTCTAATCTTTTATGTTAACTGGTACTTTAGTTTTTATAAAAGTTTAATTTACAGAGTAGGTTAAATAGGATGTACCAGAATAGCCAGTAGCAAAGAATACTTTTAAAATAGTAGCTGAGTGTTAATTACAGCATTGTGCAATAACTAATGATATGCAGACTAATAAAAAAATTAAAAAGTACTAACTGGTTCTCAGTAAATGTAAAGCCAATAAAAGGTAAGTGGTGCCCTCTGAAGGCACCATGTCCTGGAGGAGCCTGAGAGTCCTGGAAAAAAAAGAAAAGAAAAAAAAGAATTAGAATGACAAATTTTCAGGAAAAAAATATATCTGGACAGCATTACTTTTCAATGGAGCATTATGGGTAATAAGGTCAGGTATTTTCAGTTTGTGTTATCCTAACTGTTAACAGCTATATTTTAAATTATTTTGAAAACTATTGAGTAGAAATAATTATGTGTCCAGAATGAAGTTATTTTACAGCTATTTTATAGTTGTTAACTCCTTTATTATTACTTATTTTGTATTTATTCATTCATTTGTTTAGGTACCTCCACTAGGTTGCATAAAAACAGCATAGCATGATGAAAAAAGTCCCCAAACTCAATAAAAACAGTTTTGTCATAAAAAAATGTTTGTTATTATTAAGAGGAAAGACCAAAGTTTTTTTTAAATTTTTTTTACTCCTTTCTAGCACAAACTAGAGAAAAAAAAGGTTTGTTTTATTTTGCAGTTTTTTTTAAGAAAACAGTGATTTGTAAATTCTACAAAAGTCAAACAATTGTTAGATTTTATGGAAACATTGAGGACATTCAGAAATGAATGAAATTATTTTTGAAATTTTCATTTTTAGATTTTTTTTTTTTTTTATTTTGTTACATGAGACTTACATAATTTCATGAAATTTTGAGAAATTAAATTTTTAACGGGGTGGTTTTGTGGCTTCCATTAGTTAAAAACAGGACTCTTTGGAGAAAGCAACTCAATTTTTTTTGTGTTTTACAAAAATAATTGATGATTTGCTTTCTGTTTCAGTGAAACAAAACTGTTACCATTTCATTGAAAATCTGCTCTGACTTGTAAAATAAAAAATGCAATAAAACTATGACATTTAATTAAAAAAAACTTAATTGCTTTTGTAAGTAAGTTATATTAAGGACATTATTGTCTGAAGAAATAAAATTTCTTTGATGAATAATGAATTTTTACAACAATTTTTTCATTTTTTAAAAATTTTAATTATAATAATTGTTAAAAAATCATTTAAAATTCTTCATTGCTTTCAAGAATGCAATTTGATACCATTAAGTGAAAAAACGTTCCTAATTTCTACCTATGGGAATCTATAGATGACATGGTCATTTGATTTAAGTGTTATGACACACTGCAATTATTTAACTTAATTCAGTTCTGTTTTATTATTATTGTCTTTGCAAATCATCCCTTCAAAATATCAAAAAAAGTTTTACTTTTCTTAATTGCTATTTCACTAAATATTTTTATTTTATGTATTTATTTTAGTTTGGATCATACTTCAATTAATTAATTTTTATTTAAGATAGTAAAGTTAAGAATCTAGAAAAAAAATGCAAATTTCATAAGCTTCTTAAAAACTTAACTAAAAGTCAATAAAATATTAAATAATTGCTGAAAATATGTTAATTTGTAAAATTTGCTAGGTAGTTAAAAACTAAAAAAAAAAAAAAAAAAAAAAAAAAAAAAAAGAAAAGCGTTCACTTAGTTTTCATAAATATGTCATTTCTGGCTATCCACAAGGTGTCATCACCTTAAGTCCTTCTCCATAAATCAATAAAGATCAAAGAAAGAGGAACCCATTATTAAGAAATGTTTGTATATTGCTTTTTTTATGCTATAAGTAATTAATATTTATTTCAAATTAGATTAATTTAACTTTAAATGTTCTAATTTTACTCAAATAACATGTCACAAATGTATAATTTAATTTTCAAAGAATTTAAAACTCAATAAATTTGCTTGTTTGCAAATTTTTCTTTGAAGAAAAAAAAAAGAAAAATCAAGCAAGCTGTAGTTATGCATGCATTTATACATTTTATTTGTCTAACAATACCTGACCATGCTACCAATATTGCCTCATTGGCAAGCATACATAATTGAGCTACTACCCTAAATGTACCAAAACAGACTGTTGCCATAAATTTACATAATTGTTTTAGTTATGAAGCATTTTCATTCATCCAGGTCCAAAGCACGACAATATTTTGATGTATGCTTGCCCCTGATATTTCAAAATATGTATGGGATTAAGGATAATATTAAAAGACAGAAAAATAAAGAAATCTAACATGTAATTAATTGAAAAGTTAAAAAAAGCTAAGAGTTATGAAGGAGGACTGGATAATTATCTTTTATTCCAGAATAGAAAAATTAGCAATAACAATGTTTAAAAAATAGAATAAATTATTAAAAAAATATTATATATATATATATATATATATATATATATATATATCAGGGTACAAACATGAACTGCTGGCCAATTTTATTTTCTATCACACACAAACTCTCAACAAAAATATTTACACAAAAATTGCATAATTTTTCAAATTTCAGCTCCAATGAAGGCTCAACTTTTTCATAGATATACTTACAGTGTGACGGAAATCGGTCTCATCAACATCAAAATTTGAGGTATCTGTTGGACTACTGACTTCAGGAATATACTGAGCTTTAACTGAATAAAAATAAACAAAATACAGAATATCATTTATTTTATGGTATTAATTTAGGTACCTCCACTAATTCACTGAAAAAAAAAAAAAAAAAAAAAAAAAAAAGAGCATACCATGATGAAAAAAATGCTCCAAACTTAATAAAATGAAAATTTTATCATCAAAATGTTTGTTATTATTAAGAGGAAAGACCAAAGTATTTTAAAAAAAAATTTTAATTCCTAACACATTCAAAATTTTGATTAAAAATCTTGTTTTTTTTTTTATGTGTTAACAGTGTAACAGAGCTGGTTATAGAATTTTTTTTATTTTAAATAAAAGTTTCAAAATAATTTTTTTTATGTGTATAAACATTTCCATTTTGAAAGTATGATTAACCATACATGACATCATCAGAAAATAAGATTGAGGACTATATTAAATTTAAAGTCAACATTCCTGGAGAATATTTCCAACATTTTTAAGATTAGAGAGTACCTAAAAATTATATAAAAAAACGTTCACCCATCATTTTTTTAAATTATGTTTTAACAGATAAAGTCTCCATAGAACAATAATAAACATGTCAAGACCTCGTAAATTGCTTGACAGATGCTCCTGAAGCACTTGAGTGATTTATGAGCTTTTACAAGCACTTAATCACCATTACTGTTTGTTTTAAAACCCCATTTCTCTGTTATTTTAAACAGAAAGTAAATATTTTTTTTTTTTAAATCAGATTAATTATACTTTAAATCAGCCAATATTCCTCGAATAAAATTTCAGAAAAGTACATTTTATTTTTGGAAGATTTTGTAATAAAGAAAAATTCACTGTGATGGCAGATAGCTAAAAAAGGGCGCTAATCAGCATTTTTTAACCCCCCCACCCCAATGAATTGACTCCAACCAATAGAATTTCTGTTTGAAATACACCAGAGTATTTTGCTTATTGGAAATAGTAAAGTTAATCCTTTATCTTCCAATTAAAGTTAAAATAAAACCTTCAAGATTTTTCATCTATGATAATACATTTTGATAATGGAATAACCTGGTAACCCCAATGAGTGACTACACTATAGGTAGTAACTACCTATAAATATCTGTAAGTCAAAGGACTACAGAATCTAGCTGGGATCTGTTGAGTACAACTCAGACTTACATAAGAACTACTGACGACCTTGTGCATAACTGTTAACTTTATTCTTATTGTATTGGTTTTTACAATAAACCTTTACTTATTCTATCCACTATGTTTTTCAAGTGTATATTCCTATTAGCACAGAATATAAATAATGCATTTTAACCTTATAAAAAAAAAAAAAAATTTAATTAAGTGAATATAATGTGTAAAATTTTGTAAGCATTTGTATTGTGAATGGTTTGCAATATAAGGCACTGCATTAGTGTAAAATATAGAAACTCATGTATAGAGTAACAAAAAAATAATGGTATACAGGGGGCCAACACTATTTTTGGGACACTTTGAAAAGTGTGCTTAAAGGTGTTTTTTGCTGCCAAGAGCTTTTGTGTTGATGAGTAGGTAGTTCAGCAGTAACTGTCCATTAATGATATGAACATTGATTGATGGGTTTGTCTTTGGTTTCATGTTTTCTTTATTTTTATTTCAACTTAGGTGACACTATTTTTCGGACATAACACAAATTCTGGGTTTTTTAATGATTTAGTCGTCGAACATCTACAATATGCAAATTTTCTGCAGGTAAATTTTACCCTGACCATTACATTTGAGTATCTTTACCATTCACTGCAAAAACGTATTAAAATCTTGAAGAAGAATGCATTCAAAAAAAGTCATCAGTTTGGTCCAAAAGAGAAGATGGGCTCAGCATCTGAAAGATTGCCGCTGAGATGAAGCTACCGAAATCAACAATTGAATACACGCTAAGTACAGACTATGAACGGAAGAAGAAGAAGAAGAAGGACGGAAAAAAACAATTTCCAAGAGAACAGAAAGAATGAAGAGGAGTGTTACGAGGTTGTTATCATCTGGAGAAAAGGTAACAGTGAAGAAAGTAAAGAAGTGTGTACTTGACGTCAGTGTTCGAACTGTACAAAGAAAGCTACACGAAATACTTAATATTGGACTTAAGTATGCTAAAATCAAGAAAAGAATTAAACTAATGAGAAAACACAAGGAGGCAAGGCTGGGAAGCGCCAAAAGATGGATAACAAACCATGTCGACTTCAAGAAAGTGATATTTACTGATGAAAAACATTTTAAGTTCGATGGACCTGATGGGTGGTGTACATGGTAGAGAAAAGGTGAACCTGTTATTCTCAACAAGCGACAGATGGGAGGAGGAGTCGTCATGGTTTGGGGTATGGTATTTCCAAATGGAAATTTGTGGCTTGAGTGGTTAAAAGGATGTCAAAATAGCTTGAGCTACAGAGAATTTTTGGAAAAGAGAGCCCTACCACTCATAGAAAAAGAAATGGGAAGTAATTTTATTTTGCAGCAAGATAACTGCAGCATCCATGTGGCCAAATCAGTGAAAAATTGGATGCGTGAAGCAAATATAACTACTCTGGAATGGCCTGCAAGAAGTCCAGACTTAAATTTAATTGAAAACATGTGGGAAATGCTTGCAGAGCTTGTTTATGATGGGCCAGAAATAACCAGAGAGGCTGAACTGTGGCAGCGCATACAAGATGCTAAAAATAGACTGCTAGAAACACGAAGAGACGTTATTATCAATATGTATGAACATCATGAAGATAGGCTGATAGAAGTCATTGAAAAAAAAAAAAAAAAAAAGAAAAAAGAGTGCTGTCATAAACTATTAGCATTGTTTCTGCAATGTCTGAAAAATACTGTTGCCTGTACAATGTGAAAATTTGTAAAAAAATAAAAATACTTATAATTTGAATTTTCCATTTGTAGTATAGAAACAGTTTTTAAATGTTATTGCCATTACACTAAAACAGTACAGACTGCCTGTGCTACCTAAAACTTGAAAAAAATAAAGTGTCTGAAAAATAGTGTCGGCCCTCTGTATAATTGATTAAAAATATTCAAACATGAAATACATTTAAGGAACTGAAGAGGTATTTTGCAAATCTTTGTAGCATTAGTCATTCTTTATCAGCATTGGTCTAAAAAGAATAATATTTTCAGCAAAATTGCTATATATTTGTAAAAGTTAACAGATTAGTTATAATTAAGAAAAAAAAATCTAGTTGAATTTTACCAATGGTAAAGAATGGAAATTATTGCATTATGACAAACTATCCTAAAAAAAAAAAAAAAAATCACTTTAATGGTCATTCTATTAAAATGAGTGAAATACTGTTTTTAAAAAACACCTCACAGCTAGAAGAAAACCTAGAAAATTACAAATATGTGGAATAATGAAAAAACTTTACTCAAAATTTTTAAAAAATCTAAGAAAAATTCAAAAAATGTGAGGCAATATAAATTCTATAATTCCAGTATACCCATTTTCAAATTAAATTAACATCATGCATAAATCAACCTTAAGAAAGAAAATACAAATCAAAAATTTTAATTTTATCATGGACATAAAAACAAGGAATTAAGTAAAAAATTTGGTTTAGTTAATAAATTATATAAAGATGCATTTAATTTATCTTTTAAAATGTTAAAATGCTGATGTATTGTTAAAATAAATAAAAATGAATACTGACCATCCCTAATATTGTCCCATTCAATGCCTTTAAACCAGGGGTGACATTTGAAATCTTCTAATCCTCGTTTACCAAACCGCTCATCTGCACTACAGATGAGTCTTCTCATGAGATCTTTTGCTTCAGGTGTTACTTCATTATCATCAGGGAATTCAAATCGGTTCTGTAATAAATAAATTTTCTGTATAAATATTTGAGAAGAGATTTTGCAAAGGCTTTACCTTTTCAGTTATAATAGATGTCAATGAAAAGGAAAAGTGTCATTAGTAAATTGAGAAAAAGCAAAGATGGTGAGATGTCATATGATAAAAAGAAAATAATGACAAGTTCAGACTATAAAAACTTCTTGACAATTACATGAGAATAACATCATAGTCAATTGCTAACCCGAGAAATAGATTTTAGTTAGTAAAGAAAAAACATTAGTATATTAATCAAATGACAAAGAAATAACTTTGACATCATTTAACAAAATAAATTTACTTTATTATAATCAAGTTTAATAAATACCAATGAAATGGCTTAATACCATTTCAAGATGTGAACAATTTATATAAATTTGAAATGAAAACCTCCAATTTCAGCTTTCAAAACAGTTAAACATAAAATAAAATGCAATATTTTATTTTTCCAGTACTTAGATTTGAACAAAAGCAACTAGTATAACTGTTTTTAGATTACAAAAATAGATAAAAAGTAATAGTCATGGTAAGAGTAACAAAAACTCCATGTACATCTTTAAAAAAGACATTTTCAATCACCAGTATGTCATTTAAATGGATGTTTTGTTAAGTTTATTTATCTTTGTTATTATGCAAAATGCATTATTGCAGGAGTAATCTCTTATGGTGATTCCAACTACTTCTGTCTGAGGCTAAGCCCTCCAGCTGAAAGAGAGATGCTTGATTTGCAATATTGGCTTTAATTCTTGACAACTACTTTTCTTATTGCATGGTCTAAAGCATTATTCTAAGGTTTTTCTCATTGGTATGTCTTTAGGCAATCTCATTACATATCATAGGAAAGTGAATCTCCTTTTGATGCTCTTGCTCCAATTTTTGCATTTAGTCTTATATATTTTCATACAAGATCTTGCAAGGTCAGTAAATATCAAGAGGAAGTTTACATAATTTTCTCTGGAAAGCATCAATATTTTTCTCAATATGTACAGGCAAGTCCCAAGAGTTTTGAATTCTATAAAAACTCACTTGATGTGTAAATAATATCCTGATTTTGAGATGACAACAGATGATGTTAGATTTGAAGATGCCTTTACATTTCTGAAAACTTTGAAGGACAAGATACTTCCTGTTTCAATGCTCCTCATGGGTTCAAGTAGCTGCCAAATAATTTGCAATTTAAATTTAAGCATTTCTTGTTGCATGCACTGGAGAATTATTCCAGCACTTTTCTCACTGGTGTTTCTTTAGTCAGTAACATTACATATCCAAGAAACTTCCCATTTCTGATGGTCAGCATTTTGTCTTGTATAGTTCAACATAAGAAATCTTGCAAAGTCAATGGATATTGAGGGCAATTCTAAGTAATGAATTCTCACTAGTGTTTCTCCAACATTCACCTTTTGTCTTATGTCTTCTTTTGAGATTTTGCAAGTCCAGTCAATATTTGAGGGCAAGTCTAAGTAACTTTCTCTGGAAAGCATCAATATTTTTCTCATCTGTACTTGTAATTCCTCAGAGTTCTGAGTTGTACAAACTTGAAACGTGATTAGAGAATGTTCTGATTTTGAATTGATGATAGATGATATTGGATTTGAAAATGTTTTTGTATATCTGAATAGTTAGAAGTGCAAGTCTCTTTCTGTTTTCAATGTTTTTCTGTGTTCAGGTAACTGCCAAGATTTTGCAGTTTTCTCAATTAGGTGCTTCATTCTAAGTTATTAGTGGTTTGTAGTTAATAAGCCAATCAAGTACAGTCTATAGCAATTTGTCATTCTTGCATTGGATGAATTCTTCCATCATTGGTGGTAATGAAGGTGGCTTTGGTATAGTGTAGATACTAGTTTTTGGTTCACATTGAGTTCTTTTTCAAGCATGCTAAGAATCTATTTCTGTATTTGTTCAAAATTGCCAGCGAGATATATTATGTCATCAGCATATCTTGGTTTGATCTCAAGAGTATTAAGAAATTGATTCCACTTCATTCTTCAGTATTTGTACTAGAGAGAAGTTGATTAAGACTGCACTAAGTTTCACTGTATAACAGCAATGTTAGTGAGTATGCTTAGTAAATGAAGTTCATTTGGTTGTGGAATTTCTAAGTACTGGAATAGTTGCTTTCTTAATATTATCAAAGTCTTTGTCAAACATAACCAAAAATACTTTTTTTTCTGCTAAAAGTTTAGTTGTTCACTTTTGAACACTCAAGTTGATATGCTGCTTGGTCAGATTAAATGATTCTTTCTCATCTGCCCCAAAATTCTATTCAGTAGATTGATGGTCAGTACATTGTGCAAGATGGAAAGCACTATTAGTCAAAGGTTGTTACATAGTTCATCTCTTTTGGTTTAGGATTTTGAAGTGGAAGAACAATGCTTAATTAATTTCCTCTGCTATCTTGTTAAATATGAGAATATGTATTCTTTAATGCTGTCTGATACATATTTGATGCCTTCAGTATTAAGGTTGTCTGACCCAGCCATTTTTATGTTTTGTATCCCTTACCTTCTTTATTATTAAGGTTCAAAAAATTAACTGATGGTGAAAGGCAAAATGATTGTTAGTGATGATAACAAAGGAACTGAGATAATTACCAAATATTTTGTAAAGCTCGTAGCTGCTGCAGAGAAGAATATCATCAAAATCTATCTACCTATGCAACTGTCAACACTCTTCACAAAAAGCATGTCAGATAAAATGAGTTTCCATATAGGAATACAGGTTCAATTCCTGTTAGAGAATGCATATTTTCTATGTAATTTCTTGAACATTCAGGCCAGCAAATATAATGAATATTATTTAATTAAAAACAGTACTTACTTAAATTGTATCTGTAAAAATAATGTATAAACAGAAATATATATATATATATATATATATATATATATATATAAATTGTTTTTTTAAAACTGTATAAACATCACAACACCAAAATTCCCATGTTTCAAAAGTCAAACTTCAATTTAAGTTCAATTATACAAATTATAATGTTCTGTTCATTATCAAGCATTGCTAAGAATAACATTTTAGAAACTGATTTACTTAATTTACAAAAAATTGATATTTTGAGATGTTGGGGTTAAGGAAAATTCCATCTTTTTTATTTTAGGAGTGTTAAGATTTAACTTATTTAGAAAACTTGTGTATCTAATGTATTGTAGCTATCAAGTCGGTCAAGTCAAGGTGGGGGCTGGTGTATATGTCTATTGATACAAATTTCCTTTTACCAAGTAGAAATTTGTGATAGTGTCTATGTTCCAACACATCATCTGAGCTTCAATAGCAATACATTTGGCATTTTTATTATTAATTTTCTTAATTTTGATTTTTATAAATTTCAGTAATGATTTTTTTCAAAGAGGCGTTCAAATATTTAGTCACATTTTCAATATTTATATTCATACCGACTTAAGATATTATATTTAATTTATCTACTAATTAAGTACATATATGGTAATGTTAAAATTAATATATTAGGATTTAATTATGTACTTATAAACTATTCTATTTAAAATCATATATAAATGTTAGTTTCATCTTTAAAAAAATTAGCTATTACTTGAGGAAAAAACTTGGCAATGTTTACAAAAAACTCACTATTTCATTTCTTTGATTTAATAAATTTTTATTTTCCAGAAACTTAATATTTAACTTTTCATGTATGCACAAAGGACATGGGTCATTTAAAGACCTACAAGTTCTTTTTTATTATTAATTTTCATTTTCCTGTTGGTATTTTATTGGTTTCATTAAATACCAGAAATATTTAGATTTAAAAATTCATTGCATTAATCAAAACATTTTTCTAGAAATAGTAAACTCAGCAAAATGTTTTAGAAAAATACCTTAAAAATAAGTTACAGTTGTACTGAGAACTTAGAGAGGATTATCAAGAAGCATAATGCCAAAATGATGAATACTTATACTAAAATCAAAGAAATATAGATCCTGAAATAAGAATAAACAAAAATAAAGAAAAATTATGTAACTTGAAATCCTGAAAATTGCTCTCTGAATAATAAATGTTGCATAAAATCCGTGGTTTATCAATGCAATATCTCATCTATTGAGAATCCTAATTATGTTAGAGTCTATGTAGGATGTACAGAGAATGAATTTAAATTAAGATGGAACCAACACAAAGTTCCTTCAATAATACTAAATACCACAGCCAGACATGCTTATGTAAATATTTCTGGCATTTAAAAGAAACCAATAAAATATAAATTAAGTAAATCAGTTCCTAAAAAATTATTCTTAGCATTGCTTGATAATGAACAGAACTTTGTATTTTAAGTTTAATTTATATAATTGAACTTTGAAACATGGGAATTTCAGTGTTGTGATGTTTATATATTTTTAAAAGAAACAATTATAATATTATGCATTACTGTTGTATTGAGCACTGTTTTTTAAAAATAAATGTTAAGAACTCTGAAATGTAAATCTCATTGTCCTTTCCTATACACACACACACAATTGGACATTGAGATAAACAACAAATGCTGAGGAAGGGCGAGGCCGGTCCTCACTTGTCCTACCAATAACTTAGCTAGCCTCAATCACTGACCCAGTCATTCATATATTGTTTCGTTCACCAAAACATCTCATCTACACAACACTGCCTTACACAGACATAATGCCACATTTGCTCTAAGAATCCTGACCTAATCCCATATGTACAGTTTTTGTGGAAGGCTGGATTGATAAAATCCCCAATGTTCATAATGTAACAATATTTACACAGCTGAGGGAAACAGTGTTAGTAACAAAAACACCACAGTCTAATCATGGCAGAGATAACAGTTAACTGGATGAAAAATACTGTGGGATTATTAAAATTACTCACCCTTGAAACGAAAGACATCCCACATTCAGAGAACTGCAATCCCTCTCACCTAAATGGGGAGGAGAAGGGGAATAAACTGAAAATAAAAAGGCTGATGACCATCCATACCCTAGCTAAGTTAAATTCTGAGAATTAAACCAAAAGAAAATGATCAATGGACTGGGATGACAAATGTTGACTCAGGTAGCCAATATCCTCAATCCTAGGTCACCTTCAGGCTGTGTGTTGTGCTTTGCCTCGACTATATATGCTGGTCAATGGTGCATTATGGATAGTAAGGTCTAATGTATTATTCTATTACTTAGTAGGTGGCTGGTAAATATGTTACAAATTATTCAAGAGGCTATAGGGTAGAAATAATTGTAGATCCAAATGTGGTTGTGTGAGTGGTTTGTTGCTTATTTTTCTGTTGTGCTTTTTTATGATTTGTGTTGTGTTCTTGGTGTAACTGTAGCTGATTTTTACTGTAATGCTGTTGAATATCTTGTGGAAAGTCCTTGATGGGTGGAAGCAGTCGTGTAGGAGTTTAATAAATATTTTTCCTACATTTCTTTTTATGTTTTTGTTGTGGGTTGAATCTTGTGTTTCTTTTCCTACTGTGTTTTTTTGTAGTGTACAATGTGTGTGTTGCCAAAAATCTACTATCTTTTAGGGTTGTTGCATAATCTTTTGGGGCTTCATTGAAGAATTTCAAAATGCATAAATAATTTAGGATGGCATACTGTATAAGCAGCTTATACCCAAATTATAAAAACAGAATGAAAATTTTCTGTTTCATATTTTAAAAGATATAAAAAAAAAAAAAAAAAAAAAAAAAAAAACAAAAAGAAAAAAGTAAATATAATTACCTGATGATTCATGATCTTTCCATATGTTTCTACTAAGGATTCTGCATAAAATGGAGTTTCACCATACAGCATTTCATACATACACACACCTAATGACCACCAGTCACATTCTGGCCCATAACGTCCATGCCCATCCTCCATTGCCTGCAAGAAAATTGTTAAACAAAAATTATAAGCTTAAAGAAAATGTAAATTGTTGATAAAATAAAAAAAATAAATAGGATACGTAACTAAATTAAAACAAATTAAAATTTGTTTTCATTTTAAATATTTTGGAGCATAAAAAAAAAAAAAATAAAAAAAAAATAAAACCAAAAAACCTGTTTCAATTACATCATATAAAAAAAAAAAAAAAAAAAAAAAAAATACAAAAAAGAAGAGAGAAAGATAATTAAAAAACACTAAATAAATACAGTCAGTGTACATTTATCTTAAATACCACAGTAAACAAAAAAAGATTTCAAGCTTTTTAGAGTAATATGGCTGATATGGAATATCTTATCAATTTCTCTATAGATAAGACCTACTATGCAAACCAAGTCCCAAATTGGTAACATTTTGTAGCAAATTAGAGAACAGAATTTTGGAAAAATATTTGTGGAATTTAGCAAATGTTGTATAAAGTTGCAGTAAGTAATGCACAATATTTTCTGATGTCCTTAAGAAATTTCATGGACTCTGAAGTAATTGCAGCATGAAGAGAAAGATAAGAGTAAAAATTATATCCTTTTTTTAATGTAGGTTGAGTGTGTATGGGAGGATGAATGTGTTAATAAGAATGATATCAGCTAAATTGTGATCTGAAATTTTTTTCTGAATGATGTTCAATCTAGAATTTACAGAAATATACTGTGTTAAGTACTTTAAATTGCTGACATTGTTCTTTTAGTAGCAGCTGTATAGTTATGTAGATATTTTGCTAAGAAATTGGATGTTTTTATTTGAATTTTCTTGCAGTTGTGACAAAATATAAGGGTGAAACAAGCCACCCACTAAAAATAAGGCTGAAGGAACATTGAAAAGCTGTAGTGAAATGATAAAATCGGGCATAGCTGATCATGTATAGAAGGAAAAGGGTGGTCATCAACCCTTGTGGAATGAAGTGAAAATACTGGACAGGCAAGAACACACGAGAGTTAGACATCTGAAAGCATTAGCAAATACGCTAGGCTTTGAAGACATCCCTAGTAGACCTAGCATAGAAATACAATATGGGAACTGCTAATAAAGAAAGAGAAATGATGGTAAGTCTTCAACTGCAGCAGCAGTAATCAAAATATGATAGGCAGTAGCAGCAGTGAAGGTTAGGTTTAAAGCTGTAAGTTTAATCAAGCAATTGTCCTACAGGACAAAGCCTAGTAAAAGCATGGTTTTGTGAATTTGCTAACATAGTAGCAATGAGTTCAATCACTGAGTTGGGAAGTGTGTACTTGTACTCAGTGGAAATGGGCAAGCTAAATAAAATAAGACATGAGCAATGAAACAAGAACAGTCTACCCCTGTAATTTAAAGAGTTTAGTTTGAAATTGCATATAGGTTACCTAGATTGATATATACCTGAAGAAGGTTAGAGGGCACACTGACTGTAACATTGTGATAAAAATAAAGATGAGGACAATAGTCTGAATATAAATAGTGTTAAAAAAATTGGATGTTTATTCAATTTTAGTTAAATATAATAAATAATAATTAAAATACTATTTTAAATTTTTATACTGTGATAAAAAAAAATTAGTCATAATAATAATGGTAGTTATGTTAATAGACCCATCATAGCAATCAAAGACATTTTGATTTAAAAAACAAAATTTTTGATAATTTAATGTTTATGAAGTTATCATAAATGTCAAAAAATTAGGTGCAACATTCAATTAAGTAATGTTTATATCTCTTAATACAAATTTTAACAAATTCAAGTTTATGAATTATGAAAATTTGCTGAAATTTAAGATATAGATGAATACTTCACCCTAAAATATAAACTAGTCTTTTCTTGCCTATACCATCAAGGATCACATTGAACTATGGAAATTAATGTAAGAAATTAAGCATTGAAATATGGGGATCATCAATAATATTTAAATATCAATTTTCAAATTAAGTAAAATATCTAACTTACATTATAACTAATAAATATTTCTGTTCTATTAAATGTAGAGTACGTTTATTTAATAATTGATATAGTTATTTTATAAAATATAGAATTATTTTACTTGAAATCCATTTGGTGGGGAAAAAAATTAGACATTACAGTTGTAATTAAAGAACAAGAGCTTTATGAAAATGTTACATATATTATAAAGATTTAAAAAAACATTTTTTTTGAAAATTACTTTTATATTAGAGCTATTACAATTGAAAAGTAATTTTTTAAATTTGACTAAGTTATTATTGAGCTGGAATAAATATTTGAAACATTTTTTGATAGGTGGCAATTGATCATGTGATTTTGTTTCATATGTAACAAGTATATAATTTCATATATATATATATATAATTTATATATATATATATATATATATATATATATATTTGACTGGTGACATGTTTTTCTATACCAGTCATGTGTGGATTGTAAATTTTAAATGTTTTTATATTAAAAGTAAAAGGAAGCAAAATGAGATGTATTTGTGTCATTTAATGTTGTTTTACTTCTAAGAAGGAAAAAATGTTGAAAAAACAGTAAAACAGATATGCACTGTTTAAAGAGATGGTGCCACAGCTGAGATTATTCTTCATAAGTGGTTTGCATGGTTCAGAAGTGTAAATTTTGATCTGGAGAACTGAGAATGCTCCAGCAGGTCTGCATTCATAGATAACAAAAATAAAATCACTAATTTTTTTCAGTTTACACAAAAGAGGATATTACAGAGATATTCCACATATTTAATATGAGCATTTTAAAGCATTTGAAAACACTTGGATACATGAATTTCTATGATGTCTGGATGTCTCGTAATTCAATGAAAAGGAAAAAAAATTATAGGGACCACATTTTCCTTTGTGATTCTATGTTCAAATACAAAATAACTTTTTTGTAACACACAAGCTATGGATTGTTTACATCAATGTCGAGCAAAAGGGGTTCTGAGAAAACGGTCTGCATCCAAAGGAGGTAATAGTGTGTATCTGGTGGGGTCAGAAGGACATTGTGGAAGGATCTCGTAATGGAGAAAGTCAGACATTAAATTCAAACAAATTGTATTCTCAAATAAACTCGTCAATCAGAAGAGCATCATTTCCCATCAGGACAACACCACACCAAATTCCACCTCATTGAGATCCAACAGAAATTAGTACAGCTTGATGGAATATCCTATTACATCTGCTGTACACACCAGATCTTGCACCTTTGAATTACCACTTATTCTCTTAAGAGGGAAAGCTTCAATTCTTTGGAAGTCCATCAGAAAAGAAAGATCCCCTCAAAAAAAAAAAAAAAAAAAAAAAAAAAAAATTGTAAATAAAGGACTCCTTTGAGATTAATACAAGGGAGGTAAAGATCAAGAATTGGAAGAAAATATCCCAGACTACCTAACTCACTAATAATGTTTGAATTATAGAGAACTAAAAACAAAAGCTCAAATTAACAATGTCACTTGTTGATAGATATAAAGTGATCAAAGCATGTCTATCTTTGCCAAACCCACTTGTTAACAGCTTGTAATTAACTTTGAAAGTGGAAGGTCAAAAATCACAGGAATCTTTTCTAACTAGTAGGTGACACACAAACTAGCCTAATTAAAAGGTGTTCCAAACCACAACGATGAGAATTATTTATGTTTAACAACAAAAGGAGTTCATAGAAAATATTTAGGATTATAAAGAAACAGATTCTTACATGTATGTTGGATCAGAAAAATAAAGAGTTGGGTCAAATTAAAAAATATGAGAATAATAAAATATTGTACCTTTATAAGAGTGAAATGTAGCATTTCATACTAATCAGTTTCAAATTATAAGAATTATGTATATCCGAGAGCATAAGCAATATAGCAAATGGAGAACTGAAACACACATACATTTTGCTTAAATTCTCATTAGGAAGACTTATACATACCCGAAGAATTTCAGGAGATATGTAGTCAGGAGTACCTACTGCTACAGATGATTGAACCTAAAAAGAAATTAAGATAATGTCATAATAGTATACATTCAATTATTTTTGTTTAGAACATTTCATTATGCAATGCATAAGAAAAAAAAAAAAGAAAAGAGAGAGAGAGAGAGAGTGCGAGTGAGTGTGTGTGTGTGTTGCTTGTTTAAATCCTTTATAGAAAACTTCATTAATTAAACACAATCAGTTTTACTTTGAAGTCTTTCCATTGACAAACATTTTTTTTAGGAGTCATAAAAAGTAACAGAGTAAAAATTAGTATTATAATAATTATAGTAATTATTAAAATTGTATTTCATATATGACAATATGAAATAATGACTACTAAAATAAATCCTTTTGGAATAGAGAAGCATTAACAGTGTGTAAATAAATAAATAAGACAAATATATTTTAATAACTACATGTTACATGTAAAAAGTATAAACAAGTTCAGGTACAATTAAGAGTTTTGAAGTATGCATATTTACAGATTCAACTATTTTTGAGAGAATAGAAAGAAAGTTGAATTACTTACTGTGCCATCCGTTAACAACTTTAAACAAGATCCAAAATCAGCCAGAACAATGTGACCATTTTTGTCCAATAATACATTATCAGGTTTTATGTCCCTGTGAACATATCTTAACATGTGTAAAGAGTGGATAGCCAAGACCATTTCAGCAATGTAAAATTTTGCCATGTCCTCTGGTAGGCGTTCTTCAAATTTACTAAGTAATGTTAGTAAGTCACCACCACAGTAGTAGTCCATGACAAGATACTAAGGGAAAGAAAAGAAAAAAGTTTCAAAAATTATAAACATAGATGCTCCTATTATCATCTAAGTAATGTTTTGATATGATAGGAATATTTATGATAACAGTTTATGAATAAAATTCATTTCATTGTCTTTGCTTTTTGCATTCAAGACCATAAAATTATAAAGTAGATCAATTTTACAATACACAAAATCATTATTATAAGCACAATAACTAGATAAAATTTTTGAAAAGTGGTTTACAGATTCTAAAACTGAAATTACTGCATAAAAGAAATTCAACAAGCTCAAAAATTTCTGTTAATAAAATAAAAAGTAACAATTTCACATGGATATGCAACATCTACCAAGAACAATAACAAAGGGAAAAAATTTAAAGATTTCCTTTTCTGTAAACTTTCAAGTTATTTTAGATCAGGTTTTACAAAAGAAAAATAAAAAAAAAATTGTGAAATTAGATTTTAGTTTACATAAAAATTTAGCAACATAATGAAGCAGTCACTAAAATTTAAATTTTAAATGGGTGATCCTAAAAAGAGGTAGATTTGATGCAAAGAAAATTTATTAATATCTTAAAATATAGATAACACTAAATTTTAAAATATATCGACCTCATTAAATTTTAACTTGTTTTTGTCCATGGTGATCACTAATTTAAATTTACATTTTAACCTTATAAGAATCATAAATTGAGATTTTAATTAACTTCCTACAGCAAAAATTATAACTGAATGTAAATAATGCAATAATACTTTTGTAAATTGCATAAACCATTTTCTTAAAAAAAAAAAAAAAAAAAAAAAAAAATGTTAAATTTTATTTTTCAGAATTTAAAAAAAATAGATAAAATATCTAAAAAGTAAATGTTAAATTCTAAATTTTTGTAACATATATAAATTTTGATTTGTCTAAAATTTTCTCTCAGTAAAATTAAAAATTGTCAACATTTGATGGCAGCAAGTATCTATATTATAACAGAATGATTTTTTTTTTTTTAATTTTTTACTTCAGCACTGAAAGCTGCTTCCAAGTATGTCATGAGTAACTTCACTAGGTTTCTAGTTTCCCCAGTTTTTTTTTTTTGTTTTTTACCCAGAAATGCTGAAATTCTTATTGATGGCTTTGGAAAAAAATTACAATCACAAACAAGTGATTTTAATGAACAATCTTTTTCAAAATACTTTTTTTTCTGGTTGAAACCTAAGTTTACACATTCTAAAATTTTATACTGGTAATTGCTTTAATTATTTTTAAATTAAATATCAAACTAGCATCATATAATGAAACTAATGCTTTTTTAAAAAAAAAAAAACAAAAAAAACAACTGGATGCAAATATTGTAATTATTTTTCCTCACTATTTTTATTGTATATGTAAGTAGTTTTGCTATGCATTTAAAACAATTATCCTATAAATTGTTTCCTTCATTAATAAATTACTGATATATTCACTTGAAAAGTGAAGCTCACAATTGTGTCCATAGTTTCAAACCACTAGAAACAACATCTATAAATATAAAAATTGAGGATATTCCTATCCTTAGAATTAGTTGTCAACATTTTTAATAAAATTTAAGAAACAATTTTGTTATCAATTTAGACAAAGTCATAGATGAGATAGAATTTAAATTTATAAGTGTTTTCTACCAAAACATAAGATCAATTAAGCAAATATTTTTTTGTTAGTAGATTATTCTCCAACTTTACAACTTGAAAGAAATTGTTAGCAAATCTAATTAAGAATGGTAATGTTCAAAACTATCATGTTATTTGTAATGTGAACTGTTGTTATAATCATCAATATTGTTGCGATCAATGGATGAATATATTTCTAGTAAGAAGGCTTTTATAAGACCAGTAGAATAACTTGTATAAAATTATTTTAGCAGACGTTTTTTGTAAAGCACAAAAAACTTTCAAGTTCTATTTGTGAAATTAAAATTCTAAGTTTTTAATTATTATTACGCACTTGTGTAAAAATAAAATTAATACTCATCTTGACCAAATTAGAGTAATATTTGTATGAAACATTATTTTTATATAAAACTAAGAAAGATTAGTAGAGATAACTGGCAATTATTTATAATAATTGACTGAATTAAAAATCATACAAGTTTTTATTTCGGAAAACAAGATTTTTCAGAATTATTTTTACTTTATTAGGCAAAAAAAGAAATATCACTCATTCTGAAAGAATAAATGTACACAATCTAAATTTTTTTTATAACAAATTAAATTAGTACATGATGAAATTTAAAGCCTAAAATTAATGCAATAAAATAAAAAGGTATTTACATTAATGAAGATGTAGTTGATTTGCTTATATATATATATATATATATATATATATATATATATATATATAATACAATGGCGTAAGAGAAAAATTGCTATCCTTTTTAACAGACAACACACTAAAGTAAAAGTGTGTGACAAATAGAAAAACCTAAATTTATTCCTTTTTCCTCTTTTCTAATAATGAGTTTTTTTTTTTTTTTTTTGTTTTTTTCCAAAAAAAATTTTGACTATTGTTTTCTTGGGAATACATATACTAATATAAATAAAACAAGTGAATATTTTTCACTAAAATAATTCTTACAGTTTACATTTTTTTTTTGTTTAAACATCTGTGTACAAAGCACAAGGACTCACCAGGTAATTATCATCTTGAAATGCATAGTGTAGGTTAGTTATCCACCGCCTGTCTCCATATACTAAAACATCTCGTTCTTCTTTGAAACATGCAGTCTGCAAAGAAAATTTAAAACTAATAAACTACTCAATACAAATTTAAAAAAATAAGAAAAGAAAATGAGTATAGTAAAAAAAAAAAAAGTTTTGAAGATAGCTTGTAAACTTTTTAGATTTTAACCTCTAGTATAAATTTTATGGACTATCAATCAGATAGTCAGACAAATAAAAACCTGCAGTAAAATTTAACCTAAAATTTTGCCACCAGCCACTATACAAAATGATGTGAAACCTAATAAAGAAAATGGATTTAGTCAGCTAATAAAACACCTATTTTTCAAGGATATCTGGGAAATGACTTTAAAGATGGACAAATGACAGGCAAAGTGTAAAACTTGCTCTGTGAAGGCATCTTCAATTTTAAGGTTACTGACATGGACAACGGCATCCAGAGAAAGCCAGATAATGGCAAGGTCCGACAAGAAGTGGAGTTGGGACTTCATTAATGCCCTGAAGACCAAAGATACAAACAATGCAACAATGTACATGCAGAAGATAGATGCTGAATTAAAAGTAGATGCCAAAACTAACAAAGTCTCTTAAGGCCACAAAGCTGGATATAGAAATATGGAAAGAAAATACTCAATTACTTCAAGAATCATGACTCCACTGTTAACATTTTCTGTTGAGAAACATTGGGTGTTGTTTTGAACCATTGATATCTTGCAGAGTCAACATATGATGTTAAGAGCATTTTTGGGACCAAGGTGAATGTCATGGCCTCGGATAAGAAAAAGAAAGAAAAAAAAAAAAAAAAAACAACTTCTGTTCTTCTTTAATCTTGGAGAAGCAGAGTTTGGTGCTTATACCTACTACAAGATTCTGGGGTATCAGGTTTTGCCATGACTCAAAGCCAACAATCTAGAGGGCAGCTATGTGTGGATCTAGGATGATGCTCCCAGCCACACAGACAAGAAGGTATAAAACTTTTGTATCTTTAACTTTGCAGAATTCTGGACAACAGATTTCTGGCTTCCTCCATCTTAACTGAGCTATTCCATTAACAAGACCTACCAACAATACCCCCAATGCTACCATCAATACCCTCAACACAACAATCAAAAATGTGTAGGTCAAGACATGGTTACATTGTGTAGCTTTCCAAGGTCATACTGAGGCTGAATTGATAATAATGGAAACTATATTGAATAAATAATTTGTTTCCTGTATTATCTTGTATAGTTTCATTAATATGCTTTTGTATCAATAGGACTATTTATGCATAATAAGCAAGTCTTGAAAGTTGCAATTCTGTAGGTTTTACTTTCTTACTGATTGTAAGTAAAGACAATATTATGTATATTACTGATTTTTCATATGCCCGTGTTCCTTTGACATTATCATGGTTTAAGTGTAAAGCCAATAATAATACAAAATGAAATCATCTTTGCAATATATAAAAACTGAGTCATTGAAATAAATATTTTTGTATTTTAAAATAAGAAAAATGAAGATTTTTAATAAAGAAAGCAATGTAAAAAAAAACAAAAAAAAACCTTCTACAAAAGGTTATATGAATGTCAAAATTTAAAAATTAGAAAAAAAAAATAATAAAACATGCAAATATTTCAACATAAAATAAACAGCCAAAATTTTTACCAAGAAAATTTTATTAATTTTTATTTAGTTTTTCTTTTAAATTTTGAAAGAACTATGTTTAGAAGTTTAATTTTAATAATCAAGTTTACAAATAAAACTTAGATTTCTAGTTAGCATTCCTGTGCAAACTAATAATAAAATATATTCTATTAAGGAACATTTTTCTAACCAGCACAGGGTCAATTCTAATTAGCATAAAACATGCAGTCTATTCCCTCATATATATATATATATATATATATATATATATATATACACACACACACACACACACACACACACACACACACACACACACACACACACACACACACACACACACACACACACACACACACACACACACACACACACACACACAGAGAGAGACACTTTTCTATACAATTGGAATTAAAATACCTTTAGTGAAGGACCATTTTCATCTATAAAAATTAATCTTAAAATTTTCAGGATTTTTCAAAATGTTTATGGTATCAGATTGTAATGTATGTTTGTAGTGTATTTTCAAGTTTAATACCAATAATTCTGAATTAACTTTCATTTTGCCAAAGTTACCTCTTGATTGTTTTTTCACGTTTTCGTTAATTTCCGTGAATTCCTGTTGAATTAAGTTTTGACCGTGTGACCATTAGGATGTAGGTCAGCTCATTGGTCTACCCCCTCCCTCCCCAGGCTCTCTTACCTCCATAATATAATTTCAGCAACAGTACCTTCTTCCCCCCATACCTCCCAATAAGTTCCCTATAACATACTCTTTCTTTCTCCAAATAAACAGTACACTACAAACTGATACCATAAACAATTTGAAAAATCCAGCAAATTTTAAAATTAAAATTCATAGGTAAAAATGGTCATTAACTAAAGGCATCTTAATTCCAATTATAAAGTAAATTTGCTCTGCTTAATGAAAATAAACATTGAGCGCTCTTTTGTGAGCCAGTTTTAACATATTTCAAATTCTATGTTGTGTTAATAGGACTCGCCTGGATTATACCAAGCTTACTACACACACACACACACACACACGTGTATATATATAATAAAAAGAAAGAACAGTAAGATATATAATCTGGTATTCTTATTGATATTTTTACAAAACAGTGCTCAATGTAAATTTACAGAGCATAAATATTTGACTGATTTAAAATAGGGTTTCTTCGCTACACAGGAATTACCATATTTCAAACATGGCAATTCCTGTGTAGAAGAGAAACCATATTTTAAATCAGTTTTATATATATATATATATATATATATATATATATATATATATAAAAACTTTTTATATGCTGGCAGATTATAATTTTAATACCCTTTTTATCTTTATAATTATGATGCATCTGGTTACAATAAAAAAAAAACAATTATAATAATAAAAAAAGATGAAAAAGTTATTAAAATTATAATCTGCTGATATATAAAAGTTTTAGATCTTAAATATCTTAGATTTATTGTATATATATATATATATATATAGATAGATAGATAGAGATAAGAGAGGTATGTTCATGTGCACAGAGTTGTTAAACACCAGCATCAGATTTAATAATGTCTCTTTAGATAAGGCTTAGCTAATAGGAATTCAGTACTGGTTTACGATGAGTCCTTGTATACAATAGTAATGGCATTTGATAGCAAACTTCAATTCTAATGAAACTCAAAATATCTTTCAAAAGTATAGATTCTATTAATAAGTCTTGGATGATACATACAGGATTTATAATTGTACTTCACTAGTGATTATTTAATAAGTAGAACTCTAATAGTGTAGAAATTTTTCCCAGAAAATAATTCTTGCAATGCAATTCTATTTTTGGTAATGAACTAACAATAGTAGTTAAGAATCTCCACTTACAAATTAGTAACTTGTTTTTGCTGTATCATTTACAAGAGAAAGGTAGACAATCCCTGGAATTAAAGAAAAAAATCTCCATCTTTCATGTATGTTTGCTTAGAAACTAACAGCAAGTTCATTAAGATTTAAAATTCCCCACTCCCTTCAATTCTGACTATTTTCTTGGTTTCTGAAGGTTGTGTCTATAACTAAGTATGGTTTATTTGGTAGTCTTCAAGTAATGTGCCTTCACACAATGTGTGTAAAACTAGTGCTAAATCCCTGTTCTATAACCATTTCGATATTCTAGTGAACAGAAAAACAAAAATTTAAGTAAAGTTCTGTTCATCTGGGGAACATATTGAAAATAAAGAAAAAGATTTTGAGCAACAATGTTTTAAATTATTGTATAAGGACTAAAATTTTAAAACTATTGGAACATTTTCAGTGCTTAAAGGAAATTAATGTTTTACTGGTTAAGCACCAATTATGCCACATCCCCCCTTTTTTGTAATTTGAGCCTTGTAGTTGTATTCATTTTCTTTCTTGCACATTGTTGTTACTCATACCAAACTTCTAGCAATGCTAGTTAAGTCTCTAGAGAATTCATATTCTAAGTAAACCAACTGAAAGCAGCATTTGACAAAAAACATGTGGAACCCATCAAGAAAAAAATAATATTCTATGAGGATAATGCAGGAGTACATTTTTTTCTCTCCAAAAACACTTAAAATCTGTCTATTTCTGAGATGAGGTATTGTAATCATTTGTTCAAACTGTTGTCTTCATCTTTATTACCACATTCACAGAGTCTTCGGCCATTGTACACTCTGGCCTTCTTCAGCTAATATTGTAATTTTGAATTAAACCCTTCATTTACCGCAAACCAACATGCACTGGACAATACCTCAACTCCCACCGCCCATACAGTGTAAAGAAGGGGATTGTCTACTGCCTATAATGAGCAAAAGTCATAAGTGGTGACCCAGAGACATATGAACAAGAAATGATCAGTATAAGTAGTACTCTACAAAGTAACAACTACCCTAGGTACATGACAGCAGCTCCCACAAACTGGAATAGAAGGGTACAAGATAACACTCAGAAAACAGCCTACTCTATGTGAAGGACTTATTGGAAAAGATACAGATTTGTATTCCATATAATATCAAGACAACCTTCCAAAGTGGTTAAACACTATGCAGACATCTCTTGAGTAAAACCATTCATAGAGGAGAATATGATTAAGGACTGTGTGTATGCCATCTCATACAGTTGTGGCAAGAATATAAAAGGAGAAACAGGCTTCCCCCTTAAGATAAAACTGCAGGAATACTGTAAGGCCACAACCTGAAGGGAAATAGAAAAATTAGGCATGGCTGACCATATATGGAGAGAAAAGGGAGATCACCACCCTGTGAGATGAAGTTGAAATAATAGGCAGAAAACATTACTGAAAAATATGAAAACTTAAGGAATCAGAACATACTAAGCTACAAAAATCTAAGTCAGTCAAGTATAGACATGAATACAATATAGGAACCAGTAATACAGAGAGCTAGAG